AAAATAAAACCTTTGGGTTAAGTTGTCACAAGCAGGTTTTTCTTGTGTTTCTTGTGAATTTGGTCTTAAATTTTTATTTCAAGTGGCATTAAAAAGTCTTGAATTTAACTCGCCTTATGCTGTAGGAACCCTGTCTCAAGTGCTCGTCATGCAGCTCTTTCTGTCACACTTCTTCCTTCCACTCAGCTTTCCTTTATTGTGCTGACCTCATTAGTAGTGTCCCTTTGGAGCTTCTCTACATTGTGGATGCTGTCAGTGTTTGCCTGCTATTGTCAGATCTTCTATCATCCTTAAATTGTATTTATTTTCCCAATTTGTTTTTTTTTTTTATCATTTTAAATTAGAAAGAAACTAAGGTTTAGGTCATTCTAGTTAAATGAGATTAACCATTTATAAAACTCTGCTTATTGTGAAAAAAGAGTTATAGGATAGATGATAAATTAGGACATATTGGTGTTTTTTCTTTGCGTTTGTTTAATTCCCCCGGACATGAAGTATTTTGCTGCTTGGCTTCTCTTGAAGTTTATCCTCGGTTTTTCCTTCTCAGGTGGAGGAGCTCACCAGTGTGTATGAGGAGGTGGACGAGGACCAGTACTCCAAAATGGTACGAGAGAGGCAGGAGGATGACTGGATCATAGACGACGGTAAGATCCAACGTTGGTGAAATCGCTGTTGGAACATGAGCCAAAAGCTTAATTCATAGTAGCGCCTTCCTTCTTTCAGATGGTACAGGATACGTCGAAGACGGGCGAGAGATCTTTGACGACGATTTGGACGATGATGTTGTAGAAAGCAGAGGTGAGAAATGTGACGTCCTTTGGAAAAATCAGAGCAAGCACGAATGCTTTGGTAAGTGCTTTGTCTTTGCTTGCAGGAAAAGGGGGAGCGAAAGGAGGAGAGTCGAAGAAAAATATGAAGAAATCTGTCGTCTCAAAGCCGAACACCATCAAAAACATGTTTATGAACAGCAATGTGAAAAGACCTGCAGAGGTTTGTATTTATGAGCATCTTTGGCAAGACAGGTCCCCCTTCAAGTTTGTTTTGATTTAACCAACTAAATGCAAAACTTTGTTTTTATTTATTCCTCATAGAAAGATGTCGATCTCTCCAAAGATGACCTGTTAGGAGATATTTTACAGGATCTACACAATGAGGTTGGTATTTAAGTTTTAAATGTGCTTTGATGTGGCGTTAAATCTCCTGTCTTTTCCGTTTCCTGCCAACTTCATCCTCACTAACGCCGTATTGACCTGTTGTCCCAGAAACCGTCCGTCTTCAGTCCTCCGCCCGTGGTCACCCTGAAGAAGAAGAAGTCAGTAGGATCCACCATGAACCCGTTCTCTGTCAAACCCCAGATGCCGAAGGTAAATCATCACATCCTGACCTACATTTAGCTATATAGCATCCTATGCAGACACCTCACAGTTGAATGATGATGCAAAACGCCCCAATGTAGCAGGAGAAACCCTCTCTGGCGGGGTCAAAGGCCAAAGTGATCCGACCCCCTCCTTCAGACCCGTCTCCCCGGCCTCCAGCCCGTCCTCCTCCCTCCACAGCTGATGTTCTTGTGGAAAAACACGAGCCCGAAGTGGAGGAGCCAAAAGAAGATCCAGGTGAGAAAGGCTCTCTGAAGCTTTTCAGCTGCCTGACAGAAAGATCAAACTGACTTTGAGGCTCTTGTTTGTTACAGAGGACGACAGCCTGGCATTGGAAGGGGTCGATTTTGATGAACCAATGGAAGTTGAGCAGGAGGAACAGAAGCCTGTAGTCAAAACGGAGGCCAAACTTCAGCCTAAAGGAGAGGCGCCGGCGGCGGCTGAAGTTAAAGTTAAGCCTCAGGACCCGGTTCTCCTGTGAGTGTCTGCAATGCTTCTGAGTCCCGTGCTTTTCTTATCACGCTCTGACCTTCGCTGTAGTCGGATTTTCTGTTAGCAATGTTAAAGAAGTAAAATGATATGGCTTTTAGCCCTTGTATCATAGTCGGTTGTTTTAAATGAAGCAGAAATATCTCTGTTTTGGGTTTTGCACATTTATACCTGTCTGGATCATTGGGTTTTATGCAGCATCTATTGGACTTGATGCTAAAAGGTGGTTTGTTCTTTGAGGAGTTTCTACAGAACAGCCTTTTGTTTTTAAAAATCCTTCCTCAAACTTTCACTTCACAGCAGTAGAGGGAAAGAAAATGTTTTCTTTGAGGTGCAGTTCAAGGCAACATAGGCAATATAGATCAAACCTGTCTGAAGATGTTTAACTATTTAACCCAGACAAATATCTATCTAGATTATGTGTTGTAAACTCTATAATGAGCATAGTTGCCATTTCTTTCTGTGAAACCAGTGTGCATTCCTTTGCCCCTTCCTATTATCAGTTGAAAGTATTGCTCTCTCTGCCTCAATAAGCTGCAGAATCATCCTTAGAAATTAAAGTTTTCTCTGAAGGAATTTCTTTCACTAATAGCTAATTACCCTGAGGATCACTTTTCAAACTGAAGAATGTTACTTTCCTGCTGTTGGTGCTTGAGTATTACATCCACCGATTGTAAAGATCAGACCCCCTGGTCATCAAACAGTACCGGTCAAGCTTAAAAACTGGTCACCAGCTGATCCTACATGCATCTCTGCTCCAAAGAAACGTCTGCCGTACCCTTTAAATTATTTTAATAACTACACTTACCAAGTGAAATACACTATTGTAACATAAATGACACACAGACGGATGTCTTTGTATTTGTTTAATTCCCTCGGACATAAAGTATTTTGCTGCTTGGCTTCTCTTGAAGTTAGATATAGATAATAGAGGCAACCTGACTTAATAGAGGAAAGCTTGTTTTACAGGTCTTGCTATTGTAGATATGGGTGGCCAAGTAAAGAATAATATTCATCTTTTAAACATAAGCATGATCCGGGCCTGCAGGTGGCACAGTGGTTAGCGCGCACGACCCATGTACGGAGGCCTTAGTCCTCGACGACCCAGGTTTGAATCTGACCTGGGGTTCTTCGCTGTATGTCTCTCCCCCTATCTCATACCCCCTTTCCTGTCAGCCTACTGTCGAAAAAAACAAGCCACTAGTGCCGCAAAACCTCAAAACAAAAAAATAAAGCCTACATAATCCACCCTAAAGATTTGGAAAAGTCTCAAAGCGTTTTCTTGTTTTCAGGCCCGACCGCGTTGGAAGCTCCTGGGGACAAGAGGACAGTGGAGGCAGTGAAGCTCCTGCAGAGGTGCAGGTTGACTCCAGTAGGCTCCCCCTGGTGGAGGGAGCAGATGGAGAACAGGTGTTCCGCTTCTATTGGTTGGATGCTTTTGAAGACCCATACAACCAACCAGGTACGGCACCTTTACCCCCGTGGTGAAAACAAACAGAATATTATCTTTTAAAATCCAAGCAGTGGGGTGTTTAAGGCTGATCTTGTTATGCAGGGGTGGTGTATCTGTTCGGGAAAGTGTGGATCGAATCGGCACAGTCTCATGTCAGCTGCTGCGTCACTGTGAAGAACATCGAAAGAACCATGTACCTTCTCCCTCGGGAGTTTGTAAGTATCTTCTGCTCAAACTATGGATTTATTTCTGTAATATTGCAAATGTTTGTTAGTTTAGGTATCTTTATTCACATCATGTTCTGTTTTTGGTGCAGAAAACCAACCCAAAGACTGGAGAAGTGTCAGACACGCCTGTGGGGATGATGGATGTTTACCAGGAGTTCAACGAGCTCTCTGAGAAGTTTAAGATCATGAAGTTTAAGTCGAAGGTCAGCATCTGTGTTGGTTAGAGGATGAATGCTTTTAGGAATGATGATTAATGTGGGTTTTTTTCACTGTGTGCAGAAAGTGGAGAAGAACTATGCTTTTGAAATCCCTGACGTGCCCAGCCAGTGCGATTACCTGGAAGTGAGATACTCTGTAAGCCAACACACACACATAAGCAAAGTTCCTGACATCCAGCCCTGATTCCGATTCATTCTTTTCTTTGGTTAATGTCATTTTTACAGGCAGAGTTTCCTGCGTTGCCATCAGACCTTAAAGGGAGCACTTTTTCCCATGTTTTTGGCACAAACACCTCCAGTCTGGAGCACTTCCTTCTCAGCAGAAAGATTAAAGGCCCCTGCTGGTTGGACATCAAGACCCCACGTAAGAAAGATGTCTGCTCTATCGGTGAATTAGCAGCATCTAAAATTCCCTCTGCAACTCTAACTTCTCCACCTTGTCGTTGTCAGAGCTGATGAGCCAGCCGGTCAGCTGGTGTAAGGTGGAGGCCCTCGCTGTGAGAAGTGACCTGGTCTGCGTGATCAAAGATCTGCCACCTCCACCCCTCACAGTCATGTCCATCAGCCTCAAGACTGTTCAGAACCCAAAGACGCACCACAATGAGGTGAGAGAGACATCTAGCTGGTGAAATTTCTTCATCTTGCGCTATGATTTTTTCTTTCAGTAAGGGGAAAAATGTTAATTTTAATACAGAAAAATCATTTTAAAACATTTCCATAATCTGTTTAAAGCATCCAAACAGGTTTCTGTAGTTGTGAACTGATGGGATCCATGCTTTGATATTAAAGGACCGTCCTGATTTTATGTTTCTGCAGATCGTGTCCCTTGTTGCGCTTGTTCACTATAGCTTCCATATAGATAAAGCTCCTCCTCAGCCTCCCTTTCAGACTCATTTCTGCGGTAAGTTAATATTCATGCACTTTACTCTACAACCTTGTTCTCCTAGTCATCAAAGTGGGAATAAATCTGCTGCCAAAGGTCAACTCGTGGAAAGAGGAAGCTGGAATCGATCAAACTTTTTGGATTGGGAGTGGACCATTCTCCCTTTTTAGCCTCAGTTAGGGATTTATGGTGTATTGGATTCACATTAGTTCTTTCCAATTAGCTGATAATGTCCAATTAAAAGGAATTTCTTTGAGTGTTGTCGCCACCATCCCGTAGATGGCGCCACTGTTCTTCCTTAAGTGAAGCCTTGTGGTTCTATGTAAATATAAACACTCCATAAATTCCTTTACCTGTCACCTTAATAGCGCCCATTTAGCCCCGCTGCATGGCGGAGCAGCTTTACTTCTCTGCTGGGCTCAGAAGATGAGGATGTGATTATAGAAAATTGGAGTGCATCATGCAAAATATTTCTAATTCCATGTGATAAGCACGGTTTTATGAGTTAATGCTCTTCATAGAGCCATATTTGAATGTTCCTGAGAGCAACTAGAACCCAAAAGCCCAGAGTCTCTCCCACCACTGATGGTTAAACACAGAGAGCTAGATAACAGTCAGCGTTCGCCTCTTTGAAGCACAGTGACAAATAGTCAGAGTGTCAGAGCGAACTACCCCATCTGTTAATGATGGTACGTCTCTGTATGTTTCACATATTTTGTTCATTTTTTCTGTATTCTGGAACCTAATAGACTCCTGTCTTGTCATATCTTATACATATGTCTAAGTTTGATGATTTAATTTTTTTGTTTAGGCCTATTCAGTCTGTATTTAATATAGCTTGCACAATGAATTATAAAAAAAATATATCTATTTCTTACAATTCAACATTTTGTTAAAAAAAAAAAAAGGAATTTAACTTTTCGTTTTATAGAAAGATTGTCTTGATAAGAAGGAAAAACCCATGTTTTAAAGAAAATTCTGCTTATTAATTAATTGTTAGTTGATGGATAAGATCTATTAACTTTAGATCAATTACTGAATCATTAACGTGCATTACTATTCCCATTTGTTAACTTAAATGCGTATAGATGTGATACAAGAAATAAAATTTTATCTTACTTGGATTATAAATAACATCAAATCTCATATTTTCTCCCCTCAGTGATCAGTAAACCATCGGACTGCATTTTTCCTTATGACTTCAAAGATGCCTTGAAGAAGAAGGTGAGCAACAACATTTATAAGTAGACCTTGGCTTGATTTGCTGCTATTTAAGTAGTAAAATATGTTTCTTTTGTCAGTTACAGAATTTTATTAAATTTCCTAATGAACTATGTTCTATTTTATACAGGAATATTATTATTGAGAGCTTCCAAAGTGTATAAAACAACTAAGTGCACCTACTAAATAAGCTAAATAAAGCTCTAGAAATGTAAAGAGAGATGGTTTTAAACATTAATAGAATTATCCTTAATGAAACTTCACTCAAAGACAGAAAAACGATTCTTTCACAGGTCAAAAACCCAACCTTATTGTGTTTACACTTTACAGTGAAGGTAAAAAAAATCTGTGTAAAAACAAGCCATGTTTGGTGAACGTTATGGTTATAGTGTTCAGTACGGATGGTCTATATAATGAATGAGATTCTAAAGCACCAGAAGTTTCCACTGTTAGATAGGGCAGGTACCAAGGTTTACCACTTCAGCCAATAGAGGGCAGCACTGAGGTGGTTTTAGGACAGAATCATATAGGTTTACATGAAAATGTCAGCATTTACATGGTTTTTCTTAAAAGAAAAAGATGATTTAGGGTTTATTCCTTAATCAGTCGTTTAAAAATAAAAACAATTGTTTCATTTTCTTGATTAAATGTGAGTTATTCATTTTAGCCTATGTTATATTTTACTTTATAAAACCAGACTGAACTCGTTGATCTGCTGCTGTATTGTCTGTCAATCCAGGAAGTTCTTGAATTTAGAGTTTTAGTTTTTCTTTTTGAAAACTTTTATTCTGGTTAAAAAAAGTTTTTCTGGTGAATTTAATCATTAAATATTACATCAAAAAAATATTTTCAAAATAAATAGTATGTCTTTAGTGTTCAGGTGATTAGATCTCAAATTCAGCACGTTTGGTTCCTAGCTCGTTATAAAAGTTTAGAAGAACCTGAATATAATGAGCATTGTTCTATAATAGTGTGCAGTATTCAGAACTCAAAGGACTGTTTGGAGTTTGAACAAATACTTTTGGTACAAATTTAAGATGATAGACTGACCTTCAATCTTTGTTAGAATGGGAAGGTGGAGATGGCAGCTTCAGAGCGGACCCTGCTCGGCTTCTTCCTGGCCAAGATGCACAAAATTGACCCCGATGTGTTGGTGGTAAGTTTCTGTCGCTCGTGCAAATGAAAACTAAAGATCCACAGGGAAATTGGCTGGTTGGTAACAGAACATCCAGTCTTTTCTCTGATCGGTGAACACAGCAATGGAAAGCAAAACTGTTCAGTGAGCAAGTAGTTTCGGTTATCCAGAGGACTGCAGATATTATGCGATTCTCTGGTTTTAACTGTAAGCATATATGAAGAATTTTACTTGATTTCTTCTTATGTTCTTACATGGAGCAGAATGAATTTTGGGATATTTTTGTAGTTGTGTAAATGTTTTTCAAGGTACATCACAATTTAAAAAGAGACCTTCTTTTGCTCTGCACTATATAGAAGTTGGTTTTATGTAAAAGTTGCTGCTGTTAATTGAGAACTTAGGGAAACGAGGTGCAAAGTCTCCCTCAGTTGAAAACCTCCTCTAATCCGTTTGTTTATACCTGCAGGGTCACGATATTTTCGGTTTTGATCTGGAAGTTCTCCTGCAGCGGATCCATGCGTGCAAAGTCCCCCACTGGTCAAAGATCGGACGTCTCAGGAGGGCCAACATGCCCAAACTAGGGGTAATTGGAGCAGCAGTTGGTTTCTGTAACTTGAAGTAGTTTAGTACTCACTTTGTTCTTTTTTTTTTTTTTTATTGTCATATTTCAGGGCCGGGGAGCCTTTGCAGAGAAGAGTGCAACGTGTGGCCGTCTGGTGTGCGATGTGGAGATCTCAGCCAAAGAGCTAATTCGTTGTAAAAGCTATCATCTGACTGAGCTGGCTGCCCAGGTGCTGAAGGTGGAGAGGGTCACGGTTCCTCAGGAGGATATCAGAAACCTCTACAGGTGTCTTTTAATGCTTTTTGCCACTGAAATCAGTTGAAGACATAAAAGTCACCTCTGTAGTTAAAGATCAAATGGAAAAGGGTGTGAGATGTGAAGCTGTGCACTTTAAAATGTCCTCCTTTCTTCGTCTCAGCGACTCTCCTCACCTGCTCTACCTGTTGGAGTTGACGTGGACAGACGCCAAGCTGATCCTCCAGATCATGTGTGAGCTGAATGTGCTGCCCCTCGCCCTGCAGATCACCACCATCGCAGGAAACGTCCTGGTAACTTTCAGCCACACATACCCGCTCTGTTCTCACTGCTCCTCTGAGCCGTGAGGTTTTCTTCAATACAACATTTCTGATAATGTTTATTCATTTTGGGGATGATTAGCAGATTTTTTATTCTCTATTTAGCAGCTTAATCTTTTTGTTTTGTCTGTTGAATTTTTTTGTTTAGTTTAATTCCGAATAAAATGTGGATCAGCTGTTTGATTTGAAGGTTCAGTGGTTGACCCAGTCTGATCTGCTCAGTTATTGCATTCAATGGATTAGATTGTCCTTCTCATGCCGGCTTTCTTTCCTCCAATCTCTGCAGTCTCGTACTCTGATGGGGGGTCGCTCTGAGAGGAATGAGTTCCTGTTGCTTCATGCCTTCCATGACAAAAACTTCATTGTCCCTGACAAACCCTCTTTTAAAAAGGCCCAGCTGGAGGCCGTAAGTATTTAAACAAAATACTTAAAAATTTACTTTTTCTTCTTTTTTTATAAATATATATATATACATAAGACTTTTCCTGTTTCTCTTCCAGGTTGAGGGAGAGGATGATATAGATACAGGAAAAGGTAAGAGGAAGAAGAAGGCAGCCTACGCTGGAGGTCTAGTGCTGGATCCTAAAGTCGGTGAGTGTTTGACTCCTAAACAAGGTCTGTTTGTCCTGAACCATCCTTATTTTCTAATCCATCTCCGCTCCTCGCTCAGGTTTCTACGATAAGTTTGTCCTGCTGCTCGACTTCAACAGCTTGTATCCCTCCATCATCCAAGAGTTTAACATCTGCTTCACCACAGTGCAGAGGCAGGCTCAGAGCTCCCGCAGAAAGATCGAGGTGAGTGTTTTTTCTCTGTCCTCCAGGTAAACTACATCTTCTGAGTATCTCAAAAATGTAAACACTTTCCTCCGTACCAGGAGGACGAGCCAGAGGAGATTCCTGAAATTCCAGATTCGAGCCTGGAAATGGGAATCCTGCCTAAAGAAATCAGGAAGCTGGTGGAACGGCGTAAGCAGGTGAAGCAGCTCATGAAGCAGCAGGACATCAATCCGGATCTCTACATGCAGGTCAGTCCTTCAGAAAACAGCAATAAAACAAGATATATACATGTTTTATAAACATGATATATACATGATATGTTCTACCTTTAATTTGAAATTATTGTTTTTTTGTTTTTTTTTGTGACATTTTAAGACGAACAAGGAGGGTTTTTTTTATACCACATAACCAAAGGACAGTTTGTTGCTAAATAATAAAAGTTTTCCTGTAAACTTTTATTAGAGCCTACATTTAAAGCTGTTTTTGTCTTTCATCTCCCCTCAGTACGACATTCGTCAGAAAGCCTTGAAGCTAACCGCTAACAGCATGTACGGCTGCCTGGGATTCAGCTACAGCCGCTTCTATGCAAAGCCGCTTGCTGCTCTGGTCACCCACAAGGGGAGAGAGGTAAACTCAGCTTTTACACTGCAAATATAACACATGACACTCTGGTGCAAACTTTTATTTTTAAGTGTTTTAAAATCTTTTAAAGTTAAAGTATTTTAATCAGGGTTCTTGCAGATCCTTAATTGGTATTAAAATGTCTTAAATCAGTTTTTCATAGGTCTTAAAATTGTCACCAAGTCATAAATAGGATTTTATTTTTATGATTCATATCAAAAATTAAAATAATTCATCATCCTTTTTTGACGTTTACCAAACGGCTTAGCTGGAACCATTATTAGTTCCATCCTGACAGCGGAACCAATAAAAGCAATGTTGCAAACAGACCTTGGGGTGATGCGCCAATAGCGTGGGGAGGTGTAAATTCAAAGAAAATCGGCTATCCAGCCATGAGTTTTCTGCATGGCTAAAACAGAACCAGGTAATGTGGATGAGGAATGGCGTATTTTGAGCAAGAAGTATTTCAAGCGCGGTACGATGGGAATCAAAGTTGTGGAGTCAGACATGTGAAGAGTGAAAAACAAAGCGTGAAAATGAAGTTACAGAGAAGCAGCAGATATTTCCCAGTTCTGTTCCACCTTTGTCTCTGCAAGACCTCTACAGCCATATCCGACGTCAAAAAAAGCACCAGTAGCACCAAATCTCCGGTTAATGTTTGGCGGTACGCCTACAATGAAAGCAGAGCTATTATGCACTTTGAGTAGGGATAAAAAAAAACAAGTTTTTGAATTCCATTCATTAGTTGTTAAAAATATACCTGTTATTAGTGTGTTTTTAGCTTACTTCCTATATGGAAAGTTTTTCAAAATTGTAAACATTTCTACTGGGCCAGAAAGTAATTGTTTATGTTAAAATAAGCATCCGGTTAAATTTGTCGCAACCAGATTTTCCTGTGTTTATTGTGAAGTTGGTCTTAAAGTTTTATTTCAAGGGACAAAAAAAGTCTTGAATTTAACTTGCCTTATGTTGTAGGAACCCTGTTTAATACTAGTCCATAAGATTTAAAGGTTGCATGCATTGAAAATTTCATTCTGTAGCTGGAAGCGCTGTAATTTTTAACCACAAGATGGCGCTGTTGCCCTGTTATATTTTCACCTCTCTAACAATAGCAGTAGTTTTGCTTCTAAACTTACCCTGTCAAACACTTGGACTAATTATCCTTTAGGACCTGAGCTTCCTCTCTTTTCTGTTTTAACAGTGACTGTTTCGCCTCTTCAGTTCAGCTGGGATTACAAATCATATTTTGTTTCTTTTTAATCTTTCATACCCGTCTTTTCCCCTGATAATATTCAGCAGACACATAAAGAAATGAATACGCTCTCCATGTAAGGCCAACCAAACGTTCACGTCTAATAAATTTATCCAAAGCGGCGGCATGTGTTCTGGATGACACAAACTACTAAAGCTGGCATTGTAACTGAACACCACACACACACTCACATTCCCTCCCATCATGTCAGTGGTGATACTCATGTTCATTTAATGAGCTCTAACAGTACAAGTCCTCAGAGGAGGCATCAGGCTCTGCCTCAGGGGACTCCTTCATTAAGATCCCCTTACACACTCATTGTGTTGTGTGATAGAGGGCAGGACACCAGCCCGCCGTGCGTGTTTGTTATTTTGTCAGTCCATTTGTGCCTCCAGTCACGCTCATCTGACAGAGCAACATTGTTATAATCGTGTGGGTTTGATTTGCCGGTGCAGGTGGGACTTTCTCTTCTTGCACACTTGCAGCCTCTGTCTGTTTATTGATCAAATCTGTCATCTCTAGAAGCTGATCCTTTAGTGAGGTCAAAGGTTAGACTAATTAATAGTTATTTGATTTAAAAAGGGATGCATGGTTGTTAAGTTTTTTTTAACATGTTGGCATTAAAGGAATTTTCCCTTTGCTTCTCTGGACAGTTTTCAACATTTTTAAGTCTTAAGCTCACAAAGTTATTGAACCACAGTTAAAGATTTTCAAAGGTGTTCATATTCATCGAAATTCTCGTTATTTTGTTGCATTAAACGGAAAAAATTTATGTATTTTATTGCGAATTTTATTGTCAGTTAAGTGTTAAATAAAGGGTGTCGGTAATGTTGGCACTAAATGTGTGAAAAGCCAACATCCGTATGCATATATATCTATACTTTGTAGAGAAACCTCAACTAAAAGTTTTTAGATGTTTGTTTTCACCTGCATTTTTTTCTATTCTTGTCAGAGTAGCTCAGACTCAGATTGGCAGTAGACCATCCTGAGAAACAGGTTTGCAGTCTTCGTACAGATCGACTTGCTTTAGATCTGGGCTTTGAACGGGCCAATCTATCACTCCTGTATCTGTATCAAATCAAAGTTTATTTATATAGCACTTTAAAACAACACCAGGAAGACCAAACTGCTTTATAGAAAGATAAAAACATTGAAAATAAAAAAATAAAAATATATATTTCTTTTATCTGTAGCTCTAAACCACACTGTTGGATCTCTGGCTTGATGTTTCAGGTAGTTGTGCTGTTTGAAGGAGCACTTGGTCACAGTCCCAAGTCTTTTCCACCATGTAGCAGTTTTTTTATGGTTTCTATTACATTCAGACCTGCTGTGAAAAGCTTCCCCACAGACCGATGAAGCCACCACCATGTTACAAACATGATGACACAAAATGTTAAATTTAGGCTTTATCAGAGCAGACCTGTATTCCCAGCGTAGCTTATTGTGCTCTTTACACTGGATTTCTCTTGGCCTTCTTATTTGTTGAGGGCTAAGGCAAGTCCTAAAGTCACAGGCATGGTGGATTGATTTTTCAACACTTCCTTATTCTTAATGAGGGTGTTTACTCTCTAATAAACCCCTTAGATCTTCTCAGAGGAGCTGGATTTAAACTGAGATTACATCACTTCTAGATGGCTTCAACCACTAGCTGATTTCTGAAGCCACTTGGATACTTAAGACTTTATTTTGTAGTGAGTAAAAATGTGTGCACACCCATAGCAGCTTAGAGGAAGCGGTTCAGTATCATTTTACTCTACAACTATGCACTACTTTGCTTTGAATTATCCCATAAAATCAGAGTAAAGCGCATTGGTTAGTGGTTTTTAATTGGAGCTAATATCAAAGTTCAAGGAGAGTGAATACTTTAGTAAGGCTCTGTTAAGTCTCTTTTGGTTTCCTCTGATGTTTCCTTAGGTTACCCAGTGTGCTGAGGGGACAGTAAATATAAGTGGGCTGTGGTTTGGGTGGTTTGAAGGGGGGGGTTACTGCATTAGTGCATCCCATCTAGTGAGGAGTGATGTGACTCATTGCAAAGCTGAGCATCAAAAGGTCATCAGTAACATCTAAAACCCTCTGTGGGTCCAGTGCTTAACTTGCGCCTCAGTTTGCTGATGTAGCGGAAGATCCTACTTCACCCAGTCTTGGTGTTTTGTTTACCTTGTATCTATGATTCTGGGAGCAGCTCTATTTATATTGCACATTGGGACACGACACAGGGACTTCCTATTTTAATTATACTATTCAATGTTTATGAGCTCCTTCAGGTAGAGCTTTTGTGTTGGTTAAAGTTAAAAGTTGGGAACAGAAAAGGGTTAAAGTTAAGCTTCCTGCGGCGGCTGATTTTTAATAGAAAAGTTTAGCTTCCTTTCTGTGTTTCCCTAAAGTAAATAAAGCCTAATGCGAGTAGCTCTGGGTAGTTTCCATCTGCAGCCAGCCAGAAAAGCCAGCTGGCATTTATAGCTGCGTTTCTAGTGTATTTGTGGGTATTGCCATTTGCACTCCTGCCCCCTTTTTAATCATCACATTTGCACTCCACTTTCATCTCATGATTTAGGAGGCTTTTTATTTTTATAATTGTAACATGTACACTGATCACCACTTTGTCCACAGTGTAAATCCCTCCCCTCCCAGCGCTCTCATCTGTTTGGACGGGTGTCCCTGGTGAATGTGCATGTGTTGGGTGTATTTATTGATTGGCCGGGCTCTCATCTTTCTCTCACTCTCGTTTTAAACCGAGGCCTTCGGCAGAGAGGGTCGAGCCAGGAGCCGCGGGGGTTTCTCAGCCTCTGCTACGTTTTAGGCTTAGAGAGAGTTGACAGCCTTTTGACCGAAGCTTTTTAAATTAGCTTGTTTAGGAGAACTGTTTGCTCCCCCTCCTCCCCTCACATCCACTTATCCCCTCCTCTGAGTCTGTCCGTAGAAATGTGCACCGACACACATGTCATGCACGCACTACTGGCCGAACTCTGCCCTTTGTCGGACGACCATTTGTTGTGGGCCTGCTCTGTCCTGGAATGTGTGGGTATTAAAAGGGGGACTTGATAGGTATTAAGAGGAAGGTGAAGGTTTAGGATTACACGCCTGAGGCTCCTCTACAGATTGATGTCCCCCTCAACCCCTCAGGGATATTTTGGGTTCTTTTGTATGTTGGCCAGAGAACAGTTGAGTGCAGAGAGAGCTAGATATTTGTAACACAGATATCTGCCACGCATGTGGTTATGAGCGGCTGATAAATGTATTTATCCCACGAGACGGACTTTTATTGTCCGCTGACTGCTGGTTATTAGACCTCTGTAATCACTGGATGATTTTGTTCCGCTTACAGTGAGAACTATCTGTGATTTGATTTATATGAATCCTCCTGTATGTTTTTTTTTTTGTGGTATTAAATGTGATAAACGCAAAGCAGGGCGTAACCGGTTCATGATGTGCATGTTTTAGGATTTCTGAAAGAAAAAATATATGTGGTGTGCTTTTGAGTCCAACCTTCTTCATTCTGAAAGCAAATTAAATCCAAAGCAGCCTATTTAGCAGCCACCTACTGAGTCAACAGAGTTGTAGTGCTCATAAACCTGGCCTTTATGGAAGAGTGGAGGAAACCCTGTTGTTGAAAGCAAGCCATAAGAACTCCTATTTCCACAGCAAACAGGTGGAGGAGGCTGCGCACTGGTCAGACTAGACTAAAATGTAAGTTTTTGATCCACATAGATGAAAGACGTTTGGCCTCAATGCACCATTACCTCTGTAAAATATG